GGCGTTCCAATAAACCATCCTTATCTAACTGAGACTGGAGTCTGAGTTGTTTGTGCTGCTATTCTTATACTATAACTGAGAGAACCAGGCTGACACCCCCCCAAAGTCACCAGGAACTAGTGACTCTCCCCTCCCCAAAACTCACTAGGGGAACTAGGCCATAGGTAACCAATTCTCTACCCAAGGAACAGCCTGAGGAGAACCACAAGAATGGGAAGGTATCTTACTTCAGGGTGGGGCATTTGCACTGAGCAGCCCACTGACCTTGTAGTAGAATATTTCATGGCACAGAAAATACCTAACATTCCTGAGGTCTATAGATAGCTGGCTCAGTGTCATGTTAGTTAGCCAATCACTTTGTAACAAGCTTGCCCTTGCTGAATGTCATCCGATTGTGTAACTACTAAGCTGGGAAATCTGGGTTCTTGCTCAAACCCCAAATAAAAATCCTGCCATGTGCTGCTCAGGGCTTGAGGTCCCACCGAGATTCCAGGGCCCCCCAAGACCTCAGGATTGATCTGGAGGGTCTCAGACCAGCTGGTAAGTGTCGTGTCTGTGTCTCAGTCTCAATCTCCGTCTTTGTGTTCCTGTTGGCGCCTATCTTCTGAATTCTGTTCTGCCTCGAGGCATCTGTATGAGTGACTAAATGTGATTTGGACAGACGTGTCAAACAATCACAGTCACTGAAGTTGGGAGAGATGTCCCCCAACTTCATCAGTTTCTGGAGGTGGTCTAGAACCACCCACCACTCAGGCTTCTGTGGCAGAGGAGCCACAGCGGGAATCTGAATGTCTGTTTTTACAGTACCTTACCCAGGAAGGGACTTGGGCCCATCCTGGAGGAATTTCTGTAAGGCCTTGTGTTCGGCCTGCCTGAGAAGAGTCAGATTTGGTCCCGGGAAATTTGGCCAGCTGGTGGGTGTTTTTTTTTTTTGTTTGTTTGTTTGTTTTGTCTCAATGTCTGTGCAGTATTTGTTTGTGTCTATCTTTTGTTTTCTGTTCTGAAAGGCCTCACGAAACTTGTTTAAAATGTGTGCCTATGTGTTCATTAGATCTATGAACGCATATGTATAGGTTACCACGTGGTATATGAAGTGCCTCAGTGTCTCGCCACCATCTTGACTTTACCATGTGGTTTATAATGTGACCGCCATCTTGGTATGGGTGAAAAAAAAAAGGGAACCTTGGTCAAATAATTCTCATTTCCTTCTAGGTTAAAAGGATGACTTAGTTTAAATTGATATTGGTTTTAAAAATTAAATTGCTTGCACTGGTAAATTCTGGTTTTAAAATCTGGTTTTGAGACTTTTCTCCTACAAAAGGGGTACTTTGTTTTGATATTGCAAAAACGGGTTTTAAAAAAAATTATTTAAATGTTTAAGGCTATGAAATATTTAAAGTTTATCAGGCATTTGGGTATGACAATGATCTTGGGTAGTCTGACAAAAAAATTTGAAAGTTTCTCGATCCTTTGGGGAGAATAAAAATACTTTGATATTTATTTTATCAATTTTACTAAATGAAACTCTGCCGTATTGTTTGTGCTAATTGAGAAAATTGCAGTTTTTAGAATGTATCTTGTGGAGAGTTGTTTGTTAAGCTGCTTTGTTTATGGAAAAACATGTTTCCACCCTGTTCCTAACTTGAGACACAGAAAAGAGGAAGTTTCACCCAATTCCTTAAAGCTTGTCTTAAGTTCCTTAGAGTTTATGTGACCTTGGACCATCTTGTCTGCTACAGGGAAGTAATTTTAGAGAAAGAATTTAGCAGTTTCAGAACTTTTTGTAGTAATGTAACTTGTTTTTGCTTTGCCTATAAAAAGCAAATCATAAACGCTGGGCTCCAGCAGGATCAGGTCAGAATGGAAAGGATTTTGATGAGAGTTTTTATGTTGTCTGAAAAGCAAGAGAGAGAGCAAGAAAGTAAGCATGTCTGGTTAAGCCAGAAAAAGGAAGCTAGGAACCTGAAGGTATACAGAATGTTGTAGAAGGTTAGTAAATGTATGTATAAAATAACCAGAGGGTAAATATAAATTGAGAAAAAAAACTGTATTGTTATAATTCATTTAAAAGGCTGGTGATTACTCACTGCTGTGGACTGCAAGCTGAAATCTGGACTTCCTGGAAACTGACATGATTGCTCCCTGCCTCTTCGGGTAGATCAACTAACCAGATGCTTGGGACTGCCCTATTGCCCAGCCTTTGACTGGCATTTCAGCCTCCCTAGCCAGCCCCTGATGCCTACGGTCCAATGGTGAGCATCGAAGAAGCTCCAGAAGACGGATCTTCGCCCAAATCCCCCCAGCAGGCTGAAATGCTAAGTCAAAAGGGGTTGGCTCCCTGGCATTAGCTATTATCTTGGGCATCTGCTTAGCTGAAATGAAAACTAATATTACAGCAACTAGGCTAAAAGCCTAGAGAGACCCTAGAGAAAAAGGATAATAGTTCTCCTTGGCTTACTACCCTATATCTACCCTGAAGGGACCCCTACTCATTTTGATTTTTATTTTGGGGCCTTGTATTTTCAATTACTTAATGGCTTTCATAAAAAAATGCTTGAGCAATACACTAATGGTACTCAGATCCCATTAAAAAAGGTAAATCTATAAGATACAAGGAGTCATGTCTGGAAGACCCAAGATTGGGTCTTCAAATGATCATGGGAAAGGGGGAAATGAGAGACCAAAGGATAAAGTCGTTAAGACCTAGAGTAGGTGTGGTAAAAAGTTAGTAATGCCCTGAGGGGGAGAGCTACATCACTGCATTCTTTCCCCACCCACTAGAGATACAGTTGCTAGGAAACTGGACCATCCCCCTAGGAAGGGACACCAGGTCATTAATGGTCTGGGAACCTTCCTATAGCCAATCGATTCAAAATGTAGCATCTTGACCAATAGATGCTTGCCAGGCAGGAATCGCCCCTGCCGTGGGCATGCTGGGAGGGACCAGAATCTGTATATGACCCAACTAACCTGGGGACGGCACGTGTAGGCCCAAGCTGCAGCTTGTAATTTACAATAAAAAGACCCTCATGTGTTTTGCAATGGAGTCGATTCCTGTAGATCTTTTGGGGGCTCGCGAACTGGGTATAACAGGCTCTCCTCTCTGATCCACTTCAATAGTGATGGTGGAGAGACCGAACCTAAGCCCGAAAAAAGCTCTTTGTTCTTGCAATGTGGTCCAGCTCCTGGTGGTCTTTGGGGAACTAAAGATCTGGGCATAACAGAACATCAGTTCAGTGGTTTCTCTCTTACAGCACTTTCAGTTATTCAGTATATATTGTGATGGTGTGTGCTTCTGAGAGGCCAAAGAATTAAAAATTAGTTTTTGGGTATTGAATTAAAGTTTAAAGTACAAGCCTGAACAAAGGCCAGCCAGGTGGAGACATGTCCGGCCACTTGTGGGGAGGAACCAGCTTAAATGCATTCTTTTCCTGCCCAGTAGAGATACAGTTGCTATGAAACCAGCCCAGATGGCCAGCCCGGAACTGTTTATAGACATGGCACCTAAAGTAAACCAATCATTTCAAAAGTCAATTTCCCTCACCCAATCATGTAATGCCAAGGCATGTAACTCCTTGCTTGTGGTTTTTTTCCTTTAAAAACCTTGTTCCCCTAGACCACCTGGCCACATACCTCTCTGTTTCCACAGGGAGCTTGTACCCAATAAACCCTCATGTGTTTTGCAGCAGAGTCTGTTCCCGGTGGTAACTTTGGGGGTCTCGAAAACTGGGCATAACACTTGTTGGGATCTTAAGCAGGCATCTCTATGGCTAGCCCTAAGGGACCCTATGAACTGGTTATCAGGCATCTGTGAGGCCACCTGAAAGACCAACGCTGACTACTGGAAACTACCTCTTTCTTTTCTACCTCATCCAGAGATGGTCTCTGCGACCCTTCCCCTTCCCCTAATAAACCTCCCACAAGGAACCAGCCACATGGCATGATTTGTGAACCTGCCATGTAACCCTTTTGCACAATTTCTATCAACACCTTCCTGCCTAATCAGGGTTCCTAAACCTCCACTCTACTCTAAAACCCTGCGTATAGAAGTAGGCTTACTCAGTTAACTTTAAGTAACACCCGTGAAGCTAGTTGATTTCACTAAAGTAAGATAAAACATACCAAGGCACAAGAAGTAAATCTCTAATCAAAGAATCCAACCTATTACGATTTGCTCAGGCGTGTCATGCAGAACATGGAATCTGTGGCAGAGGGATCGCATCTCTAGTTTTCCACCACATAGGTTTGGTATTACATATATATGATAAGCTCTAAAACTGGCCTTTTTGCTCTGTCAAAACCAAGCGTTTATTCGTGTCAGGGTAGCTGTAATGAAAATGTTTGTGCAATGTGGTTTGGGCAGTCATTTGACACGAGCATCAGATCACCCAAGAAATTCCTTTTTCCCCAGGTGTGGAGATTAGACAAAAGTCAGCATTCCTCCAGGGGCTTGAAGAATGTTCCTACGTGGTAAAGGAATCATGGTTCTTATCTGGCAAAAGGGACATGTAAGTCTTCCATTAATATATGACTGCGGTTCCTATTAGCATGCCAAGGTTTTTGTCAGCCTCTGATCCCCTCCCCCCAACAGGCTGACTTCCTCCCAAGTACCCATTCACACTAATAACCCAGGAGAGCCCCTTCCCCGCCCCCCATCACCTCTCTGCTTTTCCAGGAGACAAACTTGGCACTTTGGAATAAACTTTTCCCCCGTGCAGTGGCTATTTTGGTTTCTTTATTGGGCCAATTTTTCATTCAACAAGACGATGTAGTGCATTTACAGAGTACATTAAATTTTCCCCACATAAGAACTATATATGAATTCCTTAGTAAGTTCACAACAGTAGGCATGATTAGTATTTCTAATTTACTCAAGAAACCTTCTTAGGTAGTCAAGACTCGTTTCCAAGGCCGCACTTAAAAGAAAAGTACGGGGCGGTCTGGCACACGTTTCAGCTGTGTTGGATGCGCGTTTGCTCACTTTTGAACTCCTTAGGCCACCGTCGCCGGGTCCCGTTGACTATTGCGCCTGCGTACCGCCGGGAGGCTCTCGGTGTCTCGGAGAACCGGAAAGGACGTTGGTGTAGAGGTGAGGTGGGTGCCTTTAGAGACCCTGGGGCTTCGACAACTGCGGTTTTCGGCTTCTCATGGGGCTGCGAACTAGGATGAGTTAGGCTTTCGAGCCTAGGGGAGCGGCGGGCCGCCTTCCGCGGGGCCGCGCTCGCCCCCGCCGCGTCCTCAGGAGGCCAGGGGCTTGGCGGGTCCGAGGGCTGAGGCGGTCGGCCGGCCGCCCCTGTGCCTGCGGGGCCTGGGAGCAGCCTGGCGGAGCTTCAGGGCCTCCCCGACGGCCGGCCGGCCCGGCTGTCGCTGTGTTTTGCCGCGGCCAAGGTGACCTTGATTGGGTCCTTTGACCTGTTGGGCCTGGTTAAGGGTGCGATCTTGGAGGGGACCGGGGCGTAGCCGTTGCTCACGGAGGCACCGGGGGACGTCTGTGTTCGGCCTGCTGTGCGAGTAGAACGGGGAAGCTAGAGGGCTCCTGACCAGCCACGCTGCTCCACGGCCCCCCTGCTGCCTCTAGCTCCCGGCGCCGGCCGCGGCCCTAGGGACTCCAGGCCCGTGGTCTCAGTGACCTGAGTTGTCGCCCAAGATTTTTCTTTGTAAGGGTAAATTCTGAAAAGGCAACAGCAAGATCACAGCTGCCTTTTTGTGGATGGGGACACTTCTGTGAGTAGTTTTTGCTCGTTGGTTGCTGGCTGTGCCTTTGCTTCGGATGGTGGAGCCGCACAGGAGGAGAGAGGCAAAGAAGCTGCAAGGTTTCAGACCTTGCCGAAGTTATTTCGGCGTTTGTAGATACGGAAGTACGTCGTGCATGAAGAGTTCATTCATTCGTTTACCCTGTTCTAAGATTTTCTTTTTTTGTTTTGCTTGTAAAGGACATTCACTACCATGAGTTCCGGTGCATTGCCTAAACCTCAGATGCGTGGTCTTCTGGCCAAGCGTCTGCGGGTTCATATTGTTGGGGCAGTCATTGTGGCCCTGGGAGTTGCCGCTTCCTATAAGGTATGTGTTTGCTTGTTTGTGCTTTAGGTCACAAGCTCTGTCTTTTAAACACTTTTTTGTTTCACTGTTTGTTTGTTTGTTTTTCGAAATAGGATTTCTCTGTGTATCCTTGGCTGTCCTGGACTTTTTTGTAGACCAGGCTGCCCAGCCTCGTTGAATGCCGGTATTAAAGGCATGCGCCCACACACCCGGCTTATTTTTACACCTGGTTAAGAGCTGTTTATTTATTTATTTATTTACTCATTCATTTGAAAAGCTCCATCTTCAAGGTATTCCTTCCTTTTACCCTCCATGGGCTTCAATGTGACAGGAACTGCTCAGACAGGCCCTATGTAGTTTGACCCTATCTTCAAATGAAGCTGTGTTAGTTTACCAGGCTGAGTGGTTAGAACAGATAGTTGCTTTCTCACAGGTTTTTTTTATTTTTTTCTTTTCTTTCTTTTTCTTTTCTTTTTTTTTAATTTTTGAGATAGGGGCTTACTATAACCCTGCCTAGACAAGGCCTGGAGTTCATGTGATCTGCCTGCTTTTGCCTCCTGAATGCTGGGATTAGAAGGCCTATACCACCATACCATCTCGATTTTTAAGATAAGGTTTAGTGCCTTCTGAATCCTTTCTCTTTTGCTGTTTTGGTCTTCTGTAACTGGATGAATTTCCTCCTGTAAAGAGATAGGTGTTAGGACCAATAAAATGATGATGAGCAACAGATTTTATGTGAAAGAGGTTTATTGGATGGAGAGAGGAGAGAGTAAAACATGATAGGGGGAAGGGAAGGGGTACCCCAACAGAGAAAGGGAGAGAGCAAGAGAGTAGGAGGGCAAGAGAGAGACAAAGTGGTGGGTTGATCCTTTTATGGAGCAACTGAACCACCCAGGTGACATGTGATGACATCATAAGTTGCAAGGCAACCCAGAAGCAGGCTGCCTCAATACTAATAATATTCCTCTCTTTTTCTACAATTAAAGAATGAGGAGCTTGGGCTGTTCATGTAAGGCAAGTTAATGTTGGTTCATTGGAAGCAGTTTTGGTTGCCGTGCAAGGGGGTGAGAGAGAGAGAGAGAGAGAGAGAGAGAGAGAGAGATAATAGCAACAAAATGTCCAGATTACATGGTCAAGAGGAGGAGGGGAAGCCCCTGCCCTGGAAAGTTCAGTGTAGAGGGTTGCCAGTAGAGAGTTGCCAGCCATACAAGGCAGCAGGTAGGGACTGAGGAATACTGGGAGAACCTGGAACTGCTTGTCCTGGGCCTGAAACACACCATTCCAGCCTTTTGTTAATAATATGTGAATAATGGGCAGAGATTCTCTTCTGGCTACTTCCTGCTGACACTGGGGGTGCTGTAGGGAGGTCAAAAGGCTGAAAAATACTGGCCAAGTCCAGAAAGAACAGGCTGTTTTGATGTGTCTGGTGCCTGTGAGAACCTCCATGGCTGGGATGGAGGATGCAGGTCCAACCTGATGGAAGTCTGTGAGGTCAGACTGGAACACCTGTGTTAGCTGCTTTGTTGTCACTGTTGTGGATATAGGAAACACCTGGGTCTGGCAGCTACTGGAACATATACATAGGCAGAGGACAAAGTAGGTGTACATTTAAAACTTTGGGAAAGTGAGCAGAGATGGAAGAAGAGACTTGAACATTTGAACCTCCATTTACCTGAGAACTACATTTACCCAATCATTGGTAGTAATTAAAAAGGCTTTGCTTTGGATCTGTCAGCTAAGGAAATTGAGGCCAAGTTGGTTACAGATGGAAGATTAGAGGTCCTTAAAGCAGGTGCTAGGTGTAGAAATCTGAAATTCTCCAGAAGACATCCCAGAGGAGAATCTGGAGGAACTGGATGAATGGACTGTTCCCATTGGGCAGGTAGGAATCAGTGATCTATCAAGGCGTCCCAAGAGCAAGGTTTGACTCAGTAAAGTAGTATGGTACAGTCTGTTCCAACAGCTCGTCAGCATTGGCCAGAGACCAAGGGCACAGTTGCCCATAGCAGACATGGTTTACTTGGCTAGGATTCTGTAGATATGTGAGAAGGGGAGGGAGTGAAACCATGCTGGTAGAGAGAAACCCTCACCCAAGGGAGAAGGTCCTAGATGAAGGGTTGGGGTGTAGTTTGGCAAAAGAGGTAGGAGCATTTGTGCCAACCAGAAGTGAAGACTCACCAATCAGCTGGTGTTGGATGTAGGAATGTGGCAGATGGTAGCCAGAAAAGGGAAGTCCAAAATCAGGGAAAAGGGGAGGAATCCTACCCTCTGAGATAGGCAATAGGTGCAGTACTTATCTGGAGCCCAATTGACCTGAGAGGTGGATTCAGGTGGATTTCCTGCAGCTTACAAGAATCCCTTTAAGTTTTGCAAAGGAGATAAAACTTTAGACATGTTAGCATCACAATTGTAATATGCACTGAAATACACATTGTAGAAAAGGCAGTAGACGTACACATTTGTGTTACCAGCATAAGCATTCTTCTAAGGTGAGCTCTAAGTAAAAGCTCACTTGATCGTAACCTTTAGTGTGATTATACATGGAGATTTAAAATCTTGGGCTTGGAACCATGATAGTGGGTGGTATAGTGGAATGTTTTTGTATTAAGAATTAGATTAATACATCAGAGCTCTATTGATAAAGGTCAAAGCTCTGGACAGTCAGTATAACAGTAGCATAGCAACAGGAAGAAATAGTAGGCATTTTTACCTATTTAGGATACCTTAAATCGCCTTAGACCTTGCAACCTTTATAACTTGCATTTACCAACTTTAAAACAATTTCTTAGACCCTTAAACATCCATAACTTGTGTTTACCAACCTTAAAACACTTTCTTAGACCCTCAAACATTTTTCTTAGTCCTTTGTATCTAGTTATTTACCATGAGGCATAGGGAAGACTGCCATGAATATTTATTGTCCTTTAGCTAAAGGGATGGTAAAAGGTTACAGCTGAGGCCTGTTTCTTGAGTCTGGCAACAAGATATATTGTGTCTAGGCCTGACAATAGCTACTCTACAACTCAGGCTTAAGTCCTGGTCTCCTGCATATGAAAAGAACTGAGAAGGCATCTGAAGTCTCCCAAGACAGAAGTTGGCAATATGTTCCTGGGACCCCAGTGTGAGGCCAGAACAGACCTGCAGTGTTACCCTGGACTGGGCGAGGGTGGTGGAGGTCGCTGAATCTAGGCACCATTTGTCCTCCACCAGGCCAAGGAGCTCAAAGGCTGGAGGTGTCTTTGGCTCTTGTGCTGGTTGAGCCTCCATAGCTGGGCACACAGGACAAGCTTGCTTGCATGGGAGCATTTTGACTTCCAGAAGACAGTCTGAAAACAGGCAGAGTGGCTTGTTGAGGCAGCTGTGGGGACCAGTGTCCTTCCTGGCTTCATTTTAAACAGTTACCTGGCGGAGTTGACTTTTGGCTATACCCTGGCGTGATGGGGCATTGCAGACCTCTTGTTTTCTACGTGGGAATGCTTCAGAGCAGCAGCCAAGGTCTGGAGCATAGTTTTTGCTGTAGATGAGCCTATCGGGAAGTCTCTTCTCTTAATTATTTTTACTAACTCCTACATGGTGACTAAGGGATCATGTCTGCATCTGTAGGACTATAAATATGACTGACTATTAGCTTGTATTTGTTAACCAAGAAATATTAGGACTTTAGGTCTTGTCCCTTTTAAGTTGGAGCCTTAAAAGTCATATAGTCCATTAAAGTAAGAGTATAAGTTTCCTGTATGATTTAGTATATAAAAAGTTTATAGCTTATAAAAGTCTTAAGGTCTATAGATTAATAATACCATTTTTAGAAAACAAGACCAAACATATTTTAATCTTTTGATAGTGATGATATAGCACAATGATCAAGTTTTAATATAAATAAATAAATGCATCTAAAATTAATAGATCTTACTTTAGAGTTTTGGTAAAAAGTTGTTATGAGTTTTAAAACCAACAATATAGTAAAACAGTAAAAAATTACATTTCAATTTATTATATCAAACCCATTAGCCAGAAAGCCTAGTGGTGAATCCGGATCACAGGCAGTTCATGGCAGGAGAAACAGCATTTATTAATTTAGGAATTGATAAATTCATAGGCAGTTAGACATACATTTTAAATTAGGTTAATTTGAATGGACCTTTATAACTTTGAAATTTTAACATTATATAAAAATTATTTTGAACCAGGGTTGAATTGTGTACATATAGCATGTTGTAAAAATATAACTTAAAATTTATAGAAAAATCCATACCCATTAAAAATGAGACTTGTTTTTAGTCTGAAAGGAGATAAAATAAAGTTATGACTAAGGAACTCTTATGAATGTAAACCCAGTGAGCAAATTATGTAAATGGTTAGATAAGAAATTACAGCATTTAGGTTTTTTTTTTAAGAGCAGAGTATACAGAAATCAGGAAAAGATTTTTAAAGGCTGGGAGCTAGGGGCTTAGAGATCAGAAATATTTTAAGAGCCAGTATTTAGAATAGTTTTGCAGGAGTGGGGTAGGGGCAAGCGCATGGCACGGCTTCTCTATTTTTAAAATCAACATGGCGCCTTGCCTTGTTTACTGTGTGGCCATAGCGGCATAGCGAGACCAGGTGCTTGCTGGTGGGATGGCTGTCCTTGCCTGGTTTGAAACTCGTACATGCACATGGCATGGCTAATTGGAAGTCCGTGCAACTGAATACCCTCCTTTGCAAGCCAGCTTCTCGATGCAGGCTTTCAGCCTGAGATTTAAAATCTTGCCCATGGGGCCTGAGGCAGCGGGCAATATAAAGCCATCTCTTTTGTGTGCAGGGTCCCCAGCAGTTGCTTACCTAACAGCAGTAGTTTAGAAGCAGGCTGTGTCTGTGTAGGAAGCGGCAGTTTTAGTGTCTGGCTTGAGCGATAGTTTCCCCAAGCCGATTTTGTTGCAGTGTCCTCCTTGTACTGGGTGCTTGGAGCACATGGCAGGATGCTGAGTCTGAGTGGCTGTGAGCAGAGGAACAGGTGTTCGTGATAAGGTCAGGGCAGTTGAGAG